CATTACCTTGGAAAGACAGATTTGAGCTTTCGGACAACAAGCAAGTTGCTGTGACAAGGCACGTAAGCTACTCACACAGCTAGCAAGGCAGAAGGGATTATTAGAGACATAGGACGACACCATATGCATATACGTACGAGCGAGACATGCCGAAATTGTTGACATTATTCATCCGGAGCCGAACAAGTTGTAGTACATGCTACACAAGGAAGTCATCAGAGAGCAGGCGTTGACTATTAAAGTTCGGGTGGCTTTCGACGCATCTTCTCATGACAAGGGATGCAAGTTCCTCAATGAGTGCCTTGAAAAGAGAGACAACCTCTACCAAGACCTTGGGAAGATACTTCTGTCTTTCAGGACACATTCCATAGCGTTAATCTCTGACATGAAGAAGGCATTTCTACAGGTATCTATACCTGAACAAGACAGAGACGCCTTTCACTTTTCGTGGTTCGCCGAAGGCGACTTAATGGGTACTCAGCTCCAAGAATGGAGAATGATGCGTGCACCCTTTGGAGCTACATGCAGACCATTCCTGCTGACGACAACCATCCTTTACCATTTGAGGAGAACGCAAGGTGCCAAAGCAAACACAGCAAACAGATTAGCAGAGTCCTTACGTTGATGACCTGGTCACGGGTGCTGACACGGAAGACAAAGCTGAAGAATTTCGTCGCGAGGCGCAAGAAATCATGAAATCAGTGGGAATGGTCCTACGCAAGTGGACCACAAACTCTACGAATCTGATGGTTGCCCTAGAATGGAAGAAAGAATCTGCAAGTAAAGAACTGGTGGTCCTTCATGAGCAACCTGTTAATGTCCTTGGCGTTGCCTGGAATCCCGCAAAAGACGAGTTCAGCTTCTCTGTCAACAGACTGTTAAATTTTATGAAAGGAAAACTTGACACTAAATAGTCCGTCTTGCAGGCAATGTCGAGAATATTTGACCCACTCAGAATCGTTTGGCCGTACACTATTGCCACACGGATACTATTCCAAAAACTGTGGACACGTGGATTAACCTGATGACCTGCGACATGAATGGCAAAGCCTAGTCCGGCAGCATCCACAACTGCAGGAAATATCGATTCCTCGCTATCTCGGCAGAGGGAGCAAGTTGCCAAGTGAAATTCGACTGCACGTCTTCTGCGATGTGAGCCCAGCAGCGTACACAGACATTATCTACGTCGTCACTGATATGGCAGAACGACCCATCGCGATGATCTCAAAGGCATGGGTGGCTCCCTAGCTAACTAACTTTATGAAGAGGAAAGACTTTTCCCTCCGAAGGCGAACGGGCATATGCCAAAACTTGCCGGAGGAGTTCGAAGAAAAGCTTCACAGTTTTCAGAGGTTCGTCCTTAACTTGCGGCACAACAACGGCTACCTGCTTGGGCAAATCGGAAATGCCGATCAGATGCCTCTTTACTTCAACATGCCTGGCACCACAACTGCCGAGAAGAAGGGGGCGAAGCAAGGTCGTGTGCCGACATCGGGCCACGAAAAAACTAGAGTGACGGCAATGTTCTGTTGCACGTCAGATGGCCACAAGCTTCCCCCGTACCTGATATTTAAATGGAAAACGTTATCAAGGTCGTTTTCCCGAGTGTTGTGACCGTGCGGGCCAACAAGAAAGGTTGGATGACGACGGACCTGGTCGCGGATTGGATCCATCAAGTCTGGGAAGCGGCCTGGCGCCGGTTTGGGCCTGCGAGTGACGCTCGTGCTCGACGCGTTTAGGTGCCATCATGACCAGCTGATCAAGGACAAGCTCACTACGTGCAATACGGACCTTGTAGTCATACCTGGCGGCATGACGTCACAACTTCAACCGCTGGATGTCTGCCTGAACAAGCCGGTGAAGGACAAGATTCGGGCGCTTTACACAGACTGGCTGATCAATGGACGACATGATTTCACGCCAGGCAACAGGATGAAGCGCGCCTCTCTGCAAGACTTCGCTACGTGGGTGGACGCGTGGTGTGCAACACCATCCGCCATGGTCATCAAGGCATTCAAGAAATGTGGCATCTCGAATGCCATGAACGGTACTGAGGATGAGATGCTTTGGGCAGTTGACAGCGATAAGAAGTTGTCCGACAGCGACAAGGACTGACCTATTACACGACTCATAACGCTGCCATAGTGGTCACAGTTAAAGCTGCAGGGCCGGCTGTTTGTCTTTGTGTTTTATCTTTCGAAACTTCAGTGCATCAAAACACAAATACTTGTTCTTAATGTGCGAAAGTTGTCTCCTACGGACTTTTTTTTTCTCTTCCGTCACAAAAAATGGGTGCGCGTTACAATGAATGTCTTACTTTTTTTGTTTTCATCGTGGAAACCGGGTGCGCGTTCCAATCGAGGGCGCGGTAGGATCGAGTAAATACGGTAGTCCAATTATAGACATTGCATACGCTAGTCCAATTATAGACATTGAGTATTTCAGCAAGCTTCAGCACCTCTTGCAAATCACAGCTTGGATTTTTCTATTTACAGACCAATGCCGTCGCAAAACAGAAGAAACTATCCATCTGACAACGGCGGAAATTCTTCTGACTGAGCACTACTGGGTTAAGCACGTCCAAAAGCAAAAATTTAATTCGGAATTGAGCTGCCTAAAACATGGACGTACGCTCGAACATACGTCCATCATTGCAGACCTTCATCCATTTATAGACGCCGGCAGATTTCTCAGAGTCGGTGGCAGTTTATCGCTCCTCAATTCCCCACCAGGAGACAAACACCCAATACTTCTCCCAGCAAAGCATCATTACTCCGCTCTGGTTGTCATCACAGCCTATCAGCAAGTCCTACATGGTGGTGTACGAGAGATGCTTACTCAGCTCCGAGAGTGCTACTGCATTTCTCGCGCACATATTTTCGTGAAAAAAGTTATTTGCAACTGCAACGTGTTCACACAATTCTCTGCCAGACCAGGAAGTGCCCCGACAGGGCCTTTGCCAAGTCACCGGATAGAGCCAAAAAACCCTTTCAAGGCTGCTGGTATAGATTTCGCCAGCCCACTCTTAGCATGCACGCAAGAAGGCGACGCTAAGTGTTACATGGCCCTTTTCACCGGTGCTGTTTCGCGAGCGATTCACCTTGAGCTTGTCTCCAGCATGAAAGCTGAGACATTCATCTTGTGCTTGCGACGATTTGTCAACTGAAGGGCATTGCCTCTCGTTATCTATTCGGATAACGTGAAAAACTTTAAAAAGACATCAGCGGATTTAAAACGCCTGTTCAACATGTTCAAAAAAGTCAGCGTTGCGAACCATCTCACCACCAATGGTATTCTCTGGAAGTTTATCGTGCCCAATGCACCATGGCGGGGTAGATGGTGGGAGCAGCTGATCAGATCAGTAAAGACTTCGTTGTGTAAGATTTTCGGCAGAGCCTGCCTCAACTAAAGAACTAATGACAGTGCTGACAGAGGTCGAAGCAGTAATCAACTCTAGGTCGATAACCTTTGTCAAGAAAGACACAACGGAACTGTGCACGTTGACTCCAGCCGACCTACTGCTTGGACGTCGACTAACTGTGATGCTGTATGATACAGTTGAAGGTGACGCCAGCTCGAGCCGATAGGATACTACTCGCCACCACGTCTACAAAAACTTCTAGCTGAGAATTTTGACTTCACTGCACGGCCAGGAATGTTAATTCTGTCGCGAGCAGTGGCGGACCACCGAGGAAGAGGATGAAGTAAGAACAAGCACAAGAGAAGGAACGGGTCTTCCGAGTATTAGCAGGGTCTCAATAGCCTCGTACCTGTACATAAAGTCTCTTTTAACTACTTCGACAGATTCGAGTACTTCTAAGGCTGCTCCACACCATATCCCCCGCAGCCACATCTCAGTAGATAAGTCATGCCTAAAGCATTAAACTTCATCGTTTCGTAAGGAGGTTCCCAAGTATCAGAAGTAATATAAAACACACAGGTGTCTGGAGTCCTATAATCTCATCAAGTAAGTACACTGAAGCAGAGGAGACAGAATAACATGAGTGCTCACCATAAGAGCCAGACAAAACTCAGTGCACAGAAAAAGGAGCAGTTTTTGATGGCAATACCACAAGAAATATGGTGGCTGAATGTACGACTTACCCAGCTTTCCCAGAAGAGCGTGCACACTTGTACAGCACTATGCAATTGAGCAAAGACAAGAACTGCCTTTTTTTTTTTGCCATAGCCAATGACACAGCCCCTGAGCCCATAATGTACCACTAATACTGTGACTCAAAATAAACCACCTTTATTAATGGGCAGCATGACATCACTATTACTTCACTACATCAACACTGGCTTTGAACTCACCATCACGACCATTTAAATTTAGACTTTCTAGAGATGACCTGATGCCACCTCTTCAAGCTACAAACAGATTTTTAAAATAATCAGTTTTTCACTCCCTCAAACTAAGCTAAAAAAAATCAGACTTAATGAAGTCACTATGCACGTGTGCTAGCTCAACAAGAACAAATATACTATAGCAATTAAAGGAAAGCTGCATAATCAGTGTAATCAACCTATGGCTGCAAGGGATTTATACTTCCAGTCTCAGCTGTCACACTGAATGACTGCACATTGAACAACCAAGATTTAATGCATCTTGCTATGAACACATCTCTGAGCGTGATGCCCATGCTTTTTGCAGTCCAGTGGATTCTCATTAAATGGAATCTGAAGGAACCAGGAAAATAATTTCTATTAAACATGAGTTCCGTTCGCTGAGAGATGAACAGGGATGTGGAATACAAGCACGTAACCAGTCATATCAGTAGCAGTTGTTCCATCTAAACAGCAGTTCCGTTTAACAGGTTTCCATTTCATGATTCTCCACTGTAGTTGAAACACTCACTGTATATTTGTATAGATGAGCAGACAATTCAAAGACAAACACAGTGAGAATATCAGTGCTCTGATGAAATTAACAGTCCTAAACAATATGATTATCTTACGCAAAACTGAAGTGCACTCTGCAGCAGAGCACACTGCGTTACCTGTGCCCAGGTCTTAGTGAGACGAAAAAGTGGAGCACTCTGAAGGGCTGACACGACGGCGCAAGCACCATGCAGGTTGCCCAACAGCTGCAGCTGCTGGGCCAGCCGTACAAAATAGCCCAGCAGTTCTGCCCGTCGCCCCACTGACCGCTCGCACAGCACTGACTGCACCACCCACAAGCTCACCTGCAAACGAGAGTCACTTATATTGACAGGTACAATCATGAAACCTTTCAATGAAGTGCTTGTGCTTTTGGATCCGGCTCTCTCCTTGTCACTGGCAGCCATTCAAGTAGAAAACATGTACATGCACTGCACCCGCAAGTCATACACAACCAAACAGAATCTTTCTTTTCGTTGTTCTTCCTCCGAGAGATCTATGAGCGTGCTGCTTTTCTGCTCAGGGTGTGTCAGAAAAGCCTATCTTCTGCAATGCTGTCGGTGTCCCCTAGTTTTATCCTTCATTCACATCTTTCTATGCTCTTAATGTCTTGTGTAATAGAGTACCAAATAACCCAAACCTTCATACTAATAGATGCTAATAAAGGAGTCAAACACATAAACAAGCTAAAAGAAGCACAGCCCCATTTCAGAAACAGTGCAATGTGCAAAGAAGTGTATTGGAAAACCACAAATTGCATTAAAGTAGGCTTTTTTTTTTGTTTTGTTTTTTGCATGAAAACCACATTCGCACATTGCAAATATGATAATCCAACCTTTGCAAATAATATTTCAGCAGCAGAACTTGTTGTTGGGCTAGTTGCTGCATGTCTGAATTCAATAGTCGATTTCGCTCCTAAATCTGAGTGACAAACAACATAGGAAATAATTAAAAAAAAATAAATTCTGCAAACTAAGTTAACCTCATAAACATTCAAATAAAAAAAATTGGCAGATCACATTTACAATAGGAATTGACGATATGATATACAAAGCACGAATGAACAAGGTTGATATTTCACTTTAAAATCAGCACGTTACGAGGCCGACAAAAAATTATTCCGTACATGACTATCATGTTATGATTATCATGTTTGGACGTGTCATTTACCTTCGTCTATTCACATCACATGGTACCAAACTTGGTACATGTTGAGCTAGGCAAACGGCCGCGAGCATGCTATGAGTGCAGCATGTAGTTATGTTTTACATGACACGCATCTCATAATTATGTTCAGACATGTCATTTACCTCAGTAGTCCATTCACATCACATAATACCAAATTTGGTATACTATGTCGAGCTAGCGAAACGACCGCGAGCATGCTGTAAGCGCAGCATGTAGTCATATTTTACATGACATGCATGTCATGTTTATAATGTTTGAACATGTCATTTACCTTCATCGTCTGTTCTGGTCATGTGATACCAAATTTGGTATTGTGGAGTAAGGGAAACGGCCGCGAGTGCGCAATGAGCATAGCATGTAGTCATGTTTTATATGACAGGCATGTTATGATGATGATGTTTGGACGTGTAATTCACAGTAGACTCTCAGTGAATGAAAATCTGTTAAACGGCACAACTGCTTAGCCGGAACTATTGCCTCTGCAATGCTTGTTTCGGCTTGTAATCTGTCCCCATGTTCACCTCTCAGTAAACATATTTTCATAGTTCCCGGTACCTACAGGTTCCGTTTGCTGAGAGTCTACTGTACTTTCATCGTCTCTTCGCGTCTCGTAATATAAATTTGGTACATGTGAAACTAGCAAATCGGCTGCGAGCGCATCATGAGCGTGGCATGTAGTCACGTTCTTACATGGCATACATTTCATCATTTTGATGTTTGCACTAGGCATATACCTTCGTCATCCATTCACGCCCCTTAACACCAAATTTGGTATATGTGAAGCTAGCGAAACGACCGCGAGCCCACCATGAGCGTGGCGTGTAGTTATAACTTTCATAACATGCCTGTCATGATTTCCACGTTAAGGTCTGTCACTTATGTCCGCGATGCAGTCATGTCATACGATACCAGTTTTGCAATATGCCATGTGAACAGAACCACTGCAAGTGCAGCAAAACAATGAAATGTTAATCATGACATACATGTGATAATTTTCATGTTATGACTAGTCACTTATGCTCATCATACATTCATGTTATGCCAAACCAAATTTGGTATAGATACCATTATAGAAATGGCCAGGAGAGCTATAAGTTGTAAAACAGACAGCCAGCCAGCCAGCCAGATAGACAGACAGACAGATACGTTTGTTCAAAGTCGCTAAGAAATGCTTCGCATTAAAAAAAATGAGACAGTATCAAACAAAAAAAAATGTGATTGCCCAAACACTGTAGTTAGGTAACAGTTGGCCTTTGCTTAACATGAGTGATATGAGTTAGCAGATTACTGCTTTGGCTTCTTGTAAGACTCCTCACTTAGCTTTTCATGCTCCCAAATTGCTTCCTGAAGGTCAGCGTTACGCTTTGTCACGAGAACATGTGTGTGGTATGATGTACACTTTACTGACTCGTATTTAGATCGCGCAACGCTGCGTTCTAAAGGCACACTGATCCCACGTATGCACGTAAGAGCACCGAAGCAGTTATCGGTCCAGTACGCAGAACAATCCTGGCAGTGGAGAGCTTTAGTTTGTCCACAGACTTCCTAACATTTGCGGATACCAGGTAACCAAAGCCGCTGATATCAGGCTGCTGCAGTAGCAGCACCAGCAGCCATGAAATTAGTAGAAAGATCTTGTGACATTTTGTCCAACTACAATAAACTAAAAATTTTTCAGTCTTTTTTGTTGTCACACCGCTATTATTGTAAAAAAAAAAGCAATGAAAATACTCATGTTCATAATTATCTCTCTTCCAATCCTTTACACTGAGTCAGTAGGTGGATAAGTCGATGCAATGTTATGTTTGTGGGTTTCTAGTTAGGTTCTGTATAATCAGGTGTCGCTGCCAGCGTTGTTCTTCTTGTACACGCTCAAGCTCCTCCATCATGTCTGCAGGTGGAAAATGCATAGAGGTCCTTTAGCACACACCTCCAGTTATCCCGTCAGAACTCATGACATACATGGTACCCGCTCGATGATCTCATTGTTTTTTTGCTATTTTGAAATCTGCCCTTTTCTGAGCTTCAAAACTCAGTTAAAATACTTTTTAGGCTGTACTTGTGACTGATAATGTACAGATGGCACCTCTATGTACCCATCAGGGTGATGTAACAGTTAAATTTTGACCAAATTTTTGTGTAACAACTCCTCTAAGAGTGCGCACAGGATACAAAAAGCTCACTACACCGACCATCTCGTTGAATGAGCACATATGGTACGCCATGTAGCACAGCTACAAGTGAACTGCATGCTGTTATTAGGGGCCAACACAAGTGCACTTTGCATTCTTGCCGTTTTCTTGAGCGAAATGGCTCGAGAATTGTGCGTTGCATGCAGGAGGCTAGTTGTTGCCATGTCGATGCAACAAGGTACGCACCTCACCTGTGCACAGTATGGGGTGTAATGGTACAAACACTACCACTGCAAACGCACGCGTACATAACTACCCAGGAAGAGTCTATATGAAAACTGATTGATTGATTGATTTGTGGGGTTTAACGTCCCAAAACCACCATTTGATTATGAGAGACGCCGTAGTGGAGGGCTCCGGAAATTTTGACCACCTGGGGTTCTTTAACGTGCACCCAAATCTGAGTACACGGGCCTACAATCTATATGAAAACTACAGCAACTAGAAGAAAAGGACACACAAAATGGAGAACCTCAGAGATTACACTTCTATGCATGCTACTTGACAGTTTTCACGAAGCGACAGTTGCACTAGACCGCACAGCCCAGCGAATGGAAGCAGCACGCTTAGGGCAATGGCAACAATTTAGGGGGTCACACATATTCACAACCGCCCAGAGGAGATTATGGCGGCACCATGGGAGCTTTCGCTAGAAAGGTGCATTGAAACATGCTTGAGCACTTCTATGTGTTCTGCCAACTTTCACTATCTTGGCATATTTGGTGCAGCTAAGCACTGCTTCGAAAATCACGTAAGCTCAGCCTTTCTTCCCCACTGAAGCTGATTGAAGGCTGTTTTGGAGCAGTTCGGTGCAACTCTTATGATTTTGGAGCAGCTTGACACAGAAGAAAGGAATCATATAAAAATGTGCAATATGTGTAGCTTTCTCACCCCTGGCATGATTAATTTCGTCCCCGTGGCTTACTGCTACAGACATAAAACATGAGAGCATACATAGTGCAGCAGGTAGCAAGATTAGCACGCTTTCTATAACAATGATAGTTTTGAAATTTCCCTCATCAAAGCCAGCATGCTGAGATACTTGGCATGTCAGTTTGACAATAACCTCATCTGTGCCCGTATTATCTCATGGATATGCCATCAAAGTGTGTGGCTTACACACCCAGTGGTAGTTTTGTTAGTCACTCCTTTTTTAAAGACGATAGCCTTTTTTAGGGACCTTCGACGCAAAAATTTTGGTCTGTCTGTCTGTACATTTGTCAGTTTGTCCACCCTTAACGGTATTCTAAACGGCACCAAAGTGACTAAACGACACTCCATACGGCCGACCCCATCCGCAGCACCCACCAATATTGCTCAAGATTCAGCGTTCATACTTCTTGTGCGATTGTAAATTATAAAGCAATTATTGCACATATCTGAGGCACCATAACAACACGTCAATATCATGTATGTGTATTTTTTACTAGAAAAGGCATACATAAGTAATTTTAAGGATCGTAGCCTTTATAGCGCTGCGCTGGCCATGCAACGCTTGCACGAAACAGCAAGTGTTTCCAACGCTTTGCTAAGATGACACGGTGGTGGCACCTACCCGCCGCCTAGCGTTCTACACCATATCACCTCAGAAACAGGCGTGCACAGCCCCCGCCCGCCAGGAAAACTGCCAGATAGCGCTCATGTCTCACGTGTGATGTGACTTGATTCGCTCGTTCGCCTCCGGTGCAGGCTCGAGGCACTCTGATGCAGCGCCTCCAGAATACCATTCACCAATTTTCTTGCGCAGAACATCAAATAAACATTTTTTTTCACTCTCTCCAGATGCAAGACTACAGTCTTTCGACGACATTTGCGGTGTAACATGCAGATACGGTGTCAATTTTTTTATTGTTCTTTTTTTTCCTCGCGTGATTCATACTTTTCTGCATATCCTCACATGTACCTTGCCGCTCTGCAATACCACTGGGCCTTGAGGGCACTGATAGTTAAATAAACATAGTCTATACATAAACTAATAATATGGTAGACCGAACTGACTCCCCACCACCCAGTGTAATTCTGCATTAACTGTTAAAATTATAAGTACCAGGATGTGAACATCATAACACATAATGTAAATATAGCTTTTTAATGTTCGAAGAGTAGGTGCTGCTGTCACACAAACGGTACATAAAATACCTGAACCTATTCAGGTGCGATGGAAAGCACAGACAAATGTGCAACTACTCTAACTCATCGCTCTTATTTTGAAAGCAAATTTTATAAAACCTTGCAGGTTGCTTAAATAGGGGTTTTACTATACATTTTGTGAATCATACAAGAAAATACAAAGTCATTCTAAAAATATTAACAGTTTTGTCTGTTTTTATCTGAAGGAACATTTGTGAAAAAGATCTTGCAAGTAAAATAGAGAAATCTCTTCTGGTTATCACATGTGCCTAGAGTATCCCTCTAAACCAAAATAATAATTTCAGACATAACCATTTCTTCATTAAGACAAATGTTTATGACTAGAATTTTAGGGCTGTTTTCTTAAACAAAAACGTTGGTAAAAAATACAATTCTGGCAGCAACAACACCTTTTTGCTTCAGAAAGGGTGCATGAAATTGAGAAATAAGTAACAAAAGTTCACGTTTCATAGCTTCAGCGGTTACAGAAAAAATGTTCTTTTTCCGACTAAAAGTAGTGTTAGGAGAAAACGGCATTTAAAGTTCGAGTTGCCGCAGAGCAGACACGAGGTCAGGCACCGTTTGGGGCCGTTTTTAAATGCTTTCCACGGCACGCAAAAACTCGCCATTTAGTTAAAGCACTTGTCAGTTATGCTTGAATATTGTGCCATGAAAATTGAAAAATCGCATATCCAGTCGCCTTTGCGCTCCATCCCCTCTTAAAATACAAGTTATACTTGATGTTTAAAAAGAAAAACTGTGCTTGCCCCCTGCTAATCTGAAGCCTCATGTAATACTTGCATGGTTGAATCGCCCAGTCAAAGCCACAACATTAGGGGCAAGTTGAACCTTTTCTCGCCTGTTCCAGCCACAACCCGCCAGCTCCTATATGGAAAAAGAAAGAAAGGAAAGATTATATGTGTGAGTGCTACATTAAACCACAGATATTTTTGCTTTCTCAGACGGGGCAAGCTCTGCAAAGATTTCTAGCTTGAATTTTTCATTAAAAAATGAGTGTGCTGTTTGTGTATGTTGCATGTTCTTCTCTCAGTAAGCAGGTGAAGCAGCATTCTTGAAATATAAACCTGCCATCTAATATTACCGAACCATTTTATTCAGGGTTTTTCAAAATAAAACCAACTCAAGAGCTTCACTTTATTTTTTCTTTACATGCTGGAGCCTCTTTGAAGGGCTACTCCAGGAGTGGGAAGACACTCAAACATAAGAAAGGCATAGAAAAAAAAAACTACTTTGGTTGAATTTTTATATTTATGTCATCGTGACTTGGTGGAAGATTGTCATTTACTAAATATCATCATCAGCAGCAGCAGCTTGACTACACCCACTACAGGACAGAGTCCTCTCCCATGATCCACCAATCAAACCAGTCTTGTGCTTTCCATTGCCACGTTATAACTGCGAACTTTTTAATCACATCGGCCCACTTAACTTTCTGTCTCTCCTTCTTGCATTTGCTTTCTCTAAAAATCCAGTCAGTTACCTCCCTAAATATAGACAATGGGATTTTTAAAATACAAATCAGTGCTTACGAAAATGAACCACGCCCAAGAAGATGGCATGAAAACTTGAGACTCCACTACAAGTTGGCTCGAAAGCTTTGCAGCGTTGTCACCACCAACCAAGATGTCGTTTTTTCAGCCTTTTCCGTCTTACCAAGGCTCTTCTCATAATAATTTGAATTTTTGGTATTGTAGAAAGGTAATTTACAAATACTATATTGATATCCCTTAACTCAGCTGCACAAAAACGTATGGAACTCTTGATGGCTGATCATTAATTCAATCCTTAAGTTTTACATTCCACTTGCCATAGCCTGCCACTGAGAGAGACACTATGAACATAGCTTTGTGATAATCAATAAAATACAATGCAAACTGGTTAATGACAGCAACAAATGAGTGAACTTATGTGTGCTTTTTTTTAGTTAGATCCTGCAGCCACAAAAATAATGAATAAAAAATGCCAAATGCAGTATCTCAAGAAAAAAAAACTTATTTGTAATGTCAAAATTTAATATATTGAAAGAGTTGGGATTAGAAAATCTATTCAGTTCATGTCTCACCCTTATCATTATTATTCAACAGCAGCGCTAAAGAACCATCACAATTGTTATCCAAAATAACTGCACGCTAACTATGCAGACATAAAAAGTTTCCAACAATAACGAAATGAAAGCAAACAAAATTTTTTTTTTCAGATTACAAAATGTGTTAGCAACTTTTCAGTTAAAAAAAAAATCTTGATTGTTAGAAATTTTGTTTTGAAAAACAGAAAGGAAAAACTGCAACTGTGAGAACTTCTCACAAAACCAACATATTTACATGACAACTCTTGCTAGCATTATTTTTTAGCAATTCTCAAATTATTACAACATCAAGGTCCCATAATTTTCTTTCTCCAGATTCATAAAGTGCTCTTACTCACTTGTAGGTGAACTTTCAAGAACACTTGCAGGTCTAGGAGTGTTAGCTGGTTCTGAAAGGTTAATGCAATAATGAATATATTATGAATGGAAACAGATCTATACAGCATGCGAAGATAACCAAGGTTAGTGGAATAAAAACATAATTGTCACAAATAATATGCAGTGCGAGGTAACCTCATATTTTTGAAATACAAGTAAATGCAAGAACAGATCTGTCCATTAGACATTATCTGAGCTAAATATAAATAGCTCTCTTACTCAGCAAGTGTCAGTATAATTTGCATATGAAAACATTAGTGCACAAGTTACTAGCTTGAGATCTGTTATTTTTTAATTTATAATAAATGTGGTAGGTTAGACTTGGGAGCATGCTTCAGTACAAATTAACTTGTCCCATGAATATGGTAGCCTCTGTTTACAGTGAAATGCAATAAGACAGACTATATCTAAAGCAATCAACTTCGCATTTTAAAGCTGCATTGTAGTCTTTTTTCTTTTAATATTAATTACATAAATAGCTTACCGACATCCTTTACTTCAACAATGCCATCAAGAATGTAATACATACAACTGCATTCACCCACAAACTTTACTTCAACAATGTCACAAAGAGCGCGAGTTCGTGCATTTTGCAGCTTGAGTTATTACAGGTGTTTCAATATTGTGCGTTACTGATCTTGCTAATAATACACTACACTCTCAATAAACAGACAGAATTGCTGCTTAATCATTTCGTGACTCGTCATCACCAAAAATTGGTCTCACTTGAAACCAATGAAGACCATACTTGTGTTTGTTTATGCTAGAAGGCCACTTTTGTTCACATTTGGCCATTTCTGTCTCAGCTTTCATTTTATTCCTAAATTATTTTTGCCTTGCAGCAAAGCCAACTTTAAGTTATATTTTTTTTCCCAATCAGTTAAATAACGGAACTTCATTGAATTGAAAGAGTGATGCAGTTTTATATGAAAAAAAAAAGCTCTACAAACTCACCAATAAAACTTTTTTTGCGATTTAGGCACATCGTTTCTTCGTTTCCTATGGTCGCGGAAGAGTTAATTGAACCAACTGTTTTTTACATGATTAGTTTTGCAATGTGAATTCGCACCTTTGTTTATCTTGCAGTACACAGAGCTCCTGTTAAATAATACATATAATTTTCTGGTCCCTTCAGATTCCATTTAACAAGACTCTACTGTTGCGACATGCTACTTAATAATTATACAATGCCAGTGAGAAGGCTACTATAGTGTGCTTCAACACTCCTGCTCAAGTGAACCAGACAGCCCATAAAGGCATCCAAAAAATTCACACATTTACATATTTTGACTGGCTCATACTACCAGACCCTTCCAATCCATTGCTAAGTTAGAAAATTAAACACAGTAGGCAAGGTCGCCCATGTGCAAATTGACCTGCAAGTTTACAATAGTACACTTGTGCATCATTACCACTTGTCCTCACAAATTTGAAGACAAGTACCAAGAAAACAACTGCCATTCTATTACACCAAGGCTGTCACCATTGGTGATCCCTTTCCCTAAGAAACTTCATATGCAGTAAAGAAGTGAACTCATTTTATGTAGACAAAGAAAAAATATTGTTCACACACATAGCCAGAATAAAATTCTGCTTGGATTTTTGTGAGTAGCAGTTTCACAGTTATCATAATTTAGAAAAGCAAATATAAAAAATGTTTGCAGAAGTAAATGATCTGCTGAATGTTATTCAACTGGCCGGGTTACAGTAAATACGAGTAAGTCAGTGTACCCCATTATTAAGATCACATACTATGTATCCCGGCTCAATTTTACACACCTTCAAAATGTAATTTATCAATGTAGGCATACATTGCGGTGATACAATCATAATTATTTGGTCATACAAAATGCAGTGACACTAATTATTGGTTACTCACAGCCAGCTCATCAATATCTAGCTTGAGCACATCCAGCGTGCTCTCACAACTGGAGGTCGGTTGCTCTGAACGCAAGCTCCACACCGAGCCATCACAAGGCCAGCGTTCCACCTGCGAAGATAGGAAACTAGAAATGATAAGCACAATATACCACACCAGTTAAAAACACACAATTTCGTCGAAGTTTTCGCACTGGTTTTTTGAAAAGACGCTGGCTCCTCGGTGCAACAGTACTTATATCTGATACACTAAATGCCTTAAAATGACCACTGACAGATTCAATTACCACTTGACGGCCCCATTTATCAAACAATCAGGATAGTTCAAATAAAGTTTTTCGTACCGTACAGTAGCTAGCTGTCAGTACGAAGCTCCAAAGCAGTGTACTACGTCAAGGTAGATGACGAGATAGTTGAGAGATGCGTTATAAAAATCTCCTGCATCTCGCAGAAGTAGATATTAGATGGCATGCCTTCAAAACACGGCTGCTTTTTTTTTTCTTGCCAGATGCTTTAGCAGTGGCGTTAACGCCCCATATTACAATGACCGCCTCAACCCCTTTCCCTTGTTTTGTATTTACTGTTATACACTTGGTTGTGTAAACTGTGAAATACACGATTTTGTCTTGAGTAAAGTTCACTTGCCTCGGTGTTCTGCGGGCTGTCGGTCTGGCCTCCGCGCACATCTGCGGGAACCATTGCGCTATACTTCATTCAGATGTGAATTTCCCACTACAGGTCTTGCGGCAAATTAGTGACATCATTCAGATCATGGGAGGTACAATGACTTATTAACGGACTTTCTAATTAGATATAAACGGAAACACGGCACGGATGCGACGCCGGTCGTGCACGGTTGCTTTTACCATTTGACGGATCGCTAGCAACACATAGTGCGCATACTAAGATAGAGCGGCGGTTTCTCGTGTCACTTGAATTGCGCCAAGCACAACGCGTAAGTTTTGGACCTGAAATACTGCTGACACACGCGAATTCGCACTGCTAGACGCACTGCTCGGACTAGATAGAGCTAGAGCCGCGACACCACCTCTCAAACGCTCCGTTGAATCGACGCCGAGTGGATTAAATGTCGGCTAGTAGCGGCTCAGAACACCTGTAGTACACAAATGAATAGATTAATATGAGTGTACCCTTTAGATCGGGCGACGGCTAACACTACCTGGCCGTAATATTTAGTGAACCAAAAACTAGATTTATGAGGGTGATGATTTGGGCTTGTTAGTATGGTGGTATGGTTGCATGATAATATGTGGTAGCGCAGACAAAGGACACGGACAAGAGAAGGCACTGTGTTGTCTTCAATGTGCCTTCTCTTGTCCGTGTCCTTTGTCTGCGCTACCTTATATTATCATACTAGATCTATTCTTTTTTTCCTATAAATAGTGAAGTTTAGAACTGGCACTTTGCAGTGAAGGATTTGATTTTCACTCGTGCCATGATTAGTGCCACCAATCAGATAACCTTCTCCTAGTTATTTCTACCCGCTTAAAGTATATTTTGCCCTCCCTGTCCCTAAACCCCAGTGCTTTAAAAAAGCACTCTGCACCATCATCCTGAACTCTAGGGTGAAGCCCTTTACAGAACATTATCAGGTGTTCGGCAGTTTTCTGCTCCTCTCCATACGCACTGCATACCGTGTATACCCCTTCGTATTTGGCACGATAAGTCTTGGCTCGCAATACTCCCGTCCTGGCCTCAAACAGTAGAAAACCACACCGACTATTATTATAAAACCTTTTCTTAGCAATTTCCTGCTTAAAAGTTCGATAGATCTCTAGTTCGGACTTTTTAATCATGCCAATTCTCCACATGTCGGTCTCCGTTTCCTTCACCTTCTTCTTAACCGATAGTTCTTTTTGGTTTGGCCACCTGCTCTTTTCTAAGTATTTACTACTATTCTAGTACACTGTAGTATTTACCCATCAATTTTCTGGTTCGCTTTCTCCATTTTGTATCAACATTCCTCACATACAAGCAGCTGAAAACCTTCCTAGCCGAACCCTCCTACCCCATTTCTCTCAATTGCTTCTCAAATTTCATCTTGCTGCTAGCTTCCCTGCCCCCAAATGATACATGTCCATCCCATATCACCTTGTACTCCCTGATTTGGTGTATTCCCGTGAGCTCCTAAGGCAAGCCTACCTATTCCACGTTGCTTATTTCTAGTCTTGCTTGAACTTTTGATCTCATGCACAACACCGCATTGCCAAACGTCAGACCAGGAACCATGACACCCTTCCAAATTCCTCTCACCACATCATACCTATTGTAATTCCACAGTGCCCTATTTTCAATCATCGCTGCATTCCTGTTTCCTTTAGTCGTTACATATATATCGTGTTCCCTTAGATATTTTGTCACATTGCTTATCCATATGCCCAGATATTTGTATTTATTGGTTATTTCTAGCGTGACCTCTTCTACCATAAGCTCACTACCTTCATTATCATTAAAAATCATGACTGCTGATTTTTCCTTACTGAATCTGAAATCTAACCTATCTCCCTCATTAACGCAGATGTCCGTCAATCTCTGCAAATCTTCCTTGCTGTTGGCCATTAGCACTATATCATCTGCGTAAATCAATGCTGGTAGTGCCTGTTCAATGAGTTTTCCTTGTTTGACGAAAGACAGGTTGAAGCCAAGTCCACTCCCCTCTAATTTGGCCTCCAATCCTTGTAGGTACATCATGAATAACAAGGGTGATAGAGGACACCCCTGTCTAAGCCCCCATTTTATCTCTGGGCTTGGATACCTGTTTTTCCCATTTTATAGATACCTTGTTAACTTTATAGATATTCTTGAAGAGCTTAGTGACTCCATCCTCCACATATAGTGTATTCAGTATTCCCCACAAGACCTCTTGAACCACGCTATCGTATGCTCTCTTGATATCCAAAAATGCTAACCACAGGGGCCTGTGTTCCTTTTCTGCTATTTCGATGCACTGCGCCAGTGAGAACAGATTGTCTTCCAACCTCCTGTGTTTCCGAAACCCATTCTGCAGTTCCCCCAGCACCCCCTCATCCTCTATCCATGCCTGCAGTCTTTCCTTTATAATCTCCATGGCCAGCGTCTAGACCACTGATGTCACTGTTGCGGATGGTAGTTTTTTATGTCAGCTTGTCCCTCTTTCCTTTATAGATCATGCTCATTCTGCTAAGTTTCCATTCACCATCGATTATTGTAAATTTTCTCGCTGCCTCTCTCAAAGTCTGCGTAGACTTGGGACCTAATTTCTTTATCAGCGTAATTGGGATGCTGTCAGGGTCTGTTGATGTACTACTAGGAACCCTCTTCTTAGCCCTTTCCCACTCTCGTTGTGAAAATGGAGCCACAGCACCACTTGATCCATCCTTGTCTATTAAGGTGCATAAGGCACTTCCTTGCTGAAATTTTCGTCGTTCTTGCTCATATATTCAATAGCTTCATCCCCTTCTAGCCTAACACCTTGAGCTGTAGTTATAAACCTCTGCTCTAGGCTTCTCTCATTTCTTAGGTAGTTTAGATGGTTCCACAATTTTGCACCTGCCTTTCTATTCTTTTCATCTAGTTCTGCCAGCCACTGAGCTCCCTTTCTTCTAATCTTTCCATTGATCAGATGGGATGCTTCCCTTCTACAACTTAGAAAGATATCCCATTTTCTTTCAACATAATCTGTCGGTTCACCCCGCTGCTTAGCATGTCTGCGTTCCCTAGAGGCTTCCTGACATTTTGCTATGGCTCTCTTAACTTCCTCATCCCACCAACTTTTGGGTTTGTATCTCCTTTTCCGGGCTGACTTGTCACGTGCCTTAGCAAGCTCTGGCTCAAACAGTCTGATTAGATTTGTGTATGTCCACACTGTTTTATTATCCTCAGTGATTACTTTCTCAATTTGTTTAGTAGCTATTGCTATTTGCCTCTCTGAATAAAGATTCCTCTGTAGTTGCTCATCTTGTCTCCTTCCCACTTTCATTGCTCTTCCAAAACTTAGCTTGATAGGTATGTTTGTGATAACTACCCAGACTTATGAAGCCACATTCATCTATGCGTACTCACCTGAGCCTAGCATACATCCTATGTGACATCAGTGCATAATCTATCGTCAACTGCAGCTTTCTTGCCTCCCATGTAATCTGCCCTTCACACTTCTCAGTACTATTGCAAATGATCAAATTACGCCTTTCACACATATCCATGATCATTTTGCCTGTTGGGTCAGTATACCAATATATATCTTCTATGAGTGCATTCATATCTCCTAGTATAATTATCTCGCACTCTCTTCCTTAATCCCTAGTCTCATTTGTTATACATTTCACCATAGCCTGGTTTTCCTCTCTGGCCTTTGCTTCCGTCCACAAGTACGCAAAACCAAGGAGTGTCATCTCCCCAGCTACTTTCCCTTTTAACCATAAATATTCCCTGCATCTCTGCTTGACTCTTTGCCAAGCCATACTTTTATGTAAAAATGCCCCAATTCTACCCCCCTTTTTGCGGTCTTCTGTTCCATTGCAATATTCCCACACATAGTCCGGATTGCAAGGTGGTTGCTCCTTGTCCCGAAGATGTTTCTCCACAACCCCATATACCATCAGCTCCTCCTGCTTTAACTGCTCATTTATCTCTTCCCATTTTAACTTATTCCTGCCACCCTGCATGTTAATATACCCTATGTCTAATATGTCATTAGTATCACAGGGGCGTCTGCGTAAGCAGGTGTTTGGTGTGTAGCGACACCACGGACCCGAGCTAACGGGGGGGTTCTCACCAGAGAAGGATTGGCCACCCTGGTGCAGTATCTGGCCACTACTTTCCACATGCAAACATCAATTAACTTACGGCTCTCAGTCGCCAGCAGCTGCTAAGCAACTGACCACGGCGGCGGTCAGATCTGCAACGCAGCCGAGGGTGCTAAGAATCTCTGGGTCCTGACAGGCCGCCATTGGAACCTGAACTTGGCAACATTTAACGCTAGGACCTTATCTAGTGAGGCTAGTCTAGCTGTACTATTTGAGGAGCTTGAGGGTGTTAAATGGGATATAATAGGGCGAAGTGAGGTTAGGAGGACAGATGAGGCCTATACGGTGCTACAGAATGGGCACGTCTTTTGCTATCGAGGCTTGGCTGACAGAAGAGAACTTGGGGTTCCTAATTCACAAAAACATAGCTGGCAACATAGAGGAATACTAGAGCATTAATGAAAAGGTAGTAGGTATCTTAATTAAACTCAATAGGAGATACAAGATGAAGGTGGTACAGGCTTACGCGCCTACATCCAGCCATGAACACGCTTCAGTTGAAAGCTTCTATGAGGACGTGGAATCGGCAAAGAGTAAGGTAAAAAGACAGTATATTATACTGACGGATGACTTTAATGCAAAAGTAGGGAAGAAGCAGGCTGGAGACCAAGCTGTATGAGATTATGGCATCGGTACTAGAAATGCCAGAGGATAGCTACTAGTAGAATTCGCAGAATGCAATAATTTACGGATTTTGAATACCTTCTACCGAAAACGAGGAAACCGCAGGTGGACATAGAGGAGCCCTAATGGCAAAAATAAGAACAAAATAGACTTTATAATGAGTGCACATCCAGACATCGTGCAGGATGTGGAAGTGGTTGTCAAGATACGATGCAGTGACCATAGAATGGTACGGTCTCGAATTCGCCTGGACTTGAAGGAACGACAGAAACTGATACGCAAGAAGCCAACCAATGAGCTAGCACTGAGAGGGAAAGTACAGGAATTCAGTCTTGCTTCAGAACAGGTACTCGGCTCTTATTGAAGAAACCAACCTTAGCGTAGATACAATGAATGATAATCTGATGAGTATCACTACCCAGTGTGCAGTGGAAGCTGGAGGCAGGGTAGTTAGGCAGGACACTGGCAAGCTTCCCAGGAAATGAAGAATCTAATTAAGAAGCATCAAAGCATGAAAGTCTGAAGTACAATAGACAAAATAGAACTGTCAGAGCTTTCGAAGTTGATTATTAAGCGTAAGGTATCCGATGTAAGAAGGTATAACATGGAGAGAATTGAACACGCTCTGAAAAATGGAGGAA